TACATAAAGAACATCCGATTCCAAAACCCACATAAACGATAATGAGTTTAGACCCTCCAACACGAGTTGCGCTACTTTCTGACGCGGGAGATGCCAACGCCATCCAGTAATTGCCCGAGATTTGAAGTAGCTCAAATAGAATTTGTGCTAATAATACCAAAAGTGCGAGTGCACCTCCGTAAGCAGTTGTAATGTATTTCCAGTAAGCCAACGAGCCAACTTTACCTTTTTGTCTTTCTTCTTGTTCCACAAGCTGCCTTTTCTTCCCCTCTGGTTTACTGTTTTGACCGTTTATAACCTCTTCTTGGATATTTTTTTGGAAAGTTCTCTGGTTCTCAACTACAAACGATATATCAGACTCTGAATTCTTCGCAGCTGAATCTATTTTCGATAAAGCTTCTTTGTGTGCACCAACAAGTTGTGTAAAGTCGCTTCCTGAGTTGAGAATGTCGTCATATTTTCCAGCTTGTGTAATTCGTCCATCCTTCAAGACCTGGCTGGGTGACCATTATATCCAGATAAGTGTGCATATGTGTGTATATATATAGGGTCAGCCGGTCAGGTTCGAGGAAACTGCAAAAAATTGAAAAACTGAGGAACACTCTAATAACCATTCATTTTCATGGTATGCACATGTGCATACTAGTAATTTGTCCAGTATGCACATGTGCATAGAAACCAGGAAACATCTTCAATTACATGTATGCACTTGTACGTACCATACAGATCAATGGTTATTAGAGTGTTACTCAACTTTTTATTTTTGGGGGTTTCCCCCGAACCTCACACACACACACTCTCTCTCTCTCTCTATGTATATATATAAGATCAGGTTCAGGGAACCTCGCAAAAGAAATGAAAAACTGAGAAACACCCTGGATGGTATGCCCATGTATATATATTAGTTTTTCATTTTTTCCCAGTTTTCCCCTAAACCTGACCCTCTGTGTGTAAATAAATAAATATATATATATATATATATAGATATATATCAAATTAAAGCAACTTTAGAAACAATTCCTCAAAAGCTTACCAGGATGATATCTGCATCAGCTAAGAACTCCACCTGATGCGTTACGTAGATCACTGTCTTCGATTCCAAGAAGTCCAGAATACATTCCTGTATAAATTACCCAATCTAATATAATTAAAAAAAGTACCGATGATCCAAAGAGCATAAGTACGCGACTAGTAGTACTGAAACACATCAACAGCTGATTTGTTGTTAGGAATGAGGATTAATAGAAATCTAGAATTTAGAAGTGATTCACTCACTTTGAAAAGATGACTTCCCGTGTGAGCATCAACAGCGCTGAACGGATCATCAAATAGATATATATCCGCATCTTGATAAAGAGCCCGTGCAATCTGTATTCTCTGTTTCTGACCACCACTCAAATTGACTCCCCTCTCGCCGATAACCGTTTGATCACCAAATGATAGAATTTCGAGATCTTTCTTCAAAGAGCATGCCTCAAGAACCTTATCGTACCTTTTTCTATCCATCTCCTTCCCAAACAATATATTCTCTTCTATCTTTCCGCTCTGTATCCATGGTGATTGACCAACGTAAGCCCTTGTCCCACTGAGTTTGACTCGACCCGATAATTTAGGAACTTCTCCTAGAATACAAGATAGTAAGCTCGACTTTCCAGAGCCAACAACGCCACAAACGGCAACTTTCATACCATGTACAACTCTAAAATTTACGTCAATCAACGTTGGATTTGAAGAAGTTACAGCCCATGAGAAATTCCCGTCAACTATCTCAATGGCAGTGTCAGAAGTACCTCTCGGGACCATTTCTACTTGATCGGGATCTAAGTCATCAAGACAAAGAAATAACGCGATACGATCTAGTGAGACTTTACTTTGTGCTATCATAGATATCGTCCCAGGAAGATTAAACGCGGATTCTTGGAGAATCTTGAATGTGGCTAGAGCAGACAACACCTTCCCGGAGTCGAGTGGCGTACCAGAAAGTATACACGTCCCAAAAGTGGCTATAGCCACGAATGTGGGTGCAACCCAGAAAGCGAAAGTGGTCATAGCCTCAGTAAAAATATATTTATACAACCAACGTGCCTCATCGCTCCTGATATCAACAATTCTAGACAAGAACTTCATCTCCCAGCCCTGAAGCTTTAGAATCCTCATGTTCTTCAAAATTTCAGAAGTTGCTTTCATCCTTTTATCTTTATATTTCATCAACTTTTCTTGAAACTTCTTCTGAAAACGCCCTAATGGTATATTTGCCAAAACCACTATTATGGTCGCAACAAAAGCAGCAAGTGAAGAAATCCCAAGATTTTTATACAAAATCGCTAGTGCCAAACCAACCTGCACGATTGCTAGCCACGGGTTGTGCATATAGCGGCTAAATTCTCCGATTCTTTCAGCATCAATAGCCATGAAATTGATAATCTCGCCGTTGGACTTCCCCTGCTTCGACTGAGACGAAAGTGTCAAACCTTTAACGTAGATCATCGCAACGAGAGCTGATCTGGCCTTGATTCCCGCCTGTGTCACCTTAAAATCTTGATGTCTTTGTGCCAAGCACTCCACAATCTTACCGACAATAAGAGCAGAAACTAGAAGAAAACCCTCATATAGATCTTGATTTCCATTTAGATACTCTACAAATGAATCTATCAGGAAAGGCCCAACATATGAAGCCAAAGTGTACACAAGAGCTAGAACTGCTGTCATCATAATATCTTTCCATGTTGTCCAAAGCACAGCCTTGACGAGCATAAAAGTAGTGATTCTGTTATCCCACTCTAGTCTGTTTCTTAAAACCAAAAAGGCTCTTCTTGCACTATCGACACTGTCAAGTTCTGGAACGTCATCAAGGTCTAATGGCTTCTTATATCCCATAGCAATCAAAGGATGAATCCAGGAGAACGTTAAACGACTAAAGACTCCGCCGGTTTTTGAAGGGGTTATAGCCACACCCACAGTTTTGAACTCTCTACGGTTAACCGAACTGCCATCCCAGAGGGATTCTTGATGGTTTACCGTTTGACCATCTTTCTTACCAGATAACCCGACATAACAGAGAAACAGACCAAGAAAAGTAGATGAAGCATCAAAAACCAAGAATTGAGCTGCCAAATTTTGATCATTTTTGTAGTAAGCATAGTCTAGGAAAAGGCAATAACAAGATATTGAGAAAAAAGAAACCCACCAAACCCTTATTACAAAGGGATACATAGATTCTTTGGAGCTAGAAACATAAACAGAAACAAATAACCAAACAAGTGTCCCAAGAAGGGTATCGCGGGAGATAATAATGTGTTCCTCGATTCGACCATTTCTAAACCAATAAAAAAGGTTCAAGAAACACATAAAGAGGTTAAGAAGCACAAGAGTCACACAACAAAAGAGGGTTTGTTTGTAAAACAATCCCCCATTGTTGGATCTAAGAATTTGTTTAGGACCTCCATTGCTACTGTTTCTAAATTTTCTGCTAACGAATAGAAGTAGCAAGAAACCAAGGTATATTGAACCAGAAAATCCATGTAAGAGTCTGGGGTTCAGGTGAAAATTGCTACCATCATCTGTCAATAAATTTGAAAGCTGAGAAAACATAACTTTGATGCCCATTAATGATGCTTCGGGATCTTCCATGTCTAAGTTTATGAAATGATTGGTGTTGATGGGAGAAACAGGGTTTGGTCAATGTCTATCATTGGTTTCTAAAGAGCTAGTGATGCTGATGGGTTAGGTACATCCATAAACAAAGCATTATATATATATATATAATGTATATATATATATATATTGTTGACCAAGGATATCAAGTCTCCCCCCCCCCCTCTCTCTCTCTCTCTCTCTCTATATATATATATACACACACATAGGGTCAGGTCCAGGAAAACTGCAAAAAAATGAAATACTGAAAAACACCCTAGTAACCGTTCATCTGGACGGTATATATGCACATGTGCATAACATGCACAAGTGCATAAAAACCAAGAAACAACTGAAGTAAGAAAATCAAGATGTTCCTCAGTTTTTCATATTTTGGGGGTTTTCCTTGAACCTCCCCCCTCTCTCTCTCTCTATATATATATATATATATTGTTGACCAAGGATATCAAGTCTCCGTCTCTTTCTGTATGTATATTTATTTATTTAGAGGAGAGAGAAATGGCTAAACATTGGTGGAATGTCTCCTTTTCCTTATTTTTTTTTATCTGTATCAAGACAATCATTTGATTATTATGAAGCCCATGTGCATGGTTAATGACAAATACAACTGAAGTAAGAAAATCAAAGACCCAATGCCCCAAAATAGCAGCAGCAAATAGAACCCAGTGGTAATCATTCATCTGGACAGCATGCACGTGTGCATACAAGTAATTGAAGTTGTTTCTTGGCTTTTATGGACATGTGCATGTTATTCACATTTGCATACCAAACAAATTCTTTACAAGTTACTTGTATGCACATATGCATACCATCTAGATGAACTTTACCAAGGTGTTCCTTAGTTTTTCATTTTTTCAGTGGTTTTCCCTTAACCTGACCCTTATTGAGCATATGGGGTACTCCGCTTTGTGCAAACAGGTTAGCAAGCAATGAGGTTTCACTCCTTGTACAAAGAGACGATTACTTATTGATATAATAATTCGTCCGATGGAATGAAAAAGGAATTTGCTTGATCCTTTTTTTCACATAATTCAGCCAAACAAATCGTCACAGGCCAACAATATTCTAGGATGATTCAACAACCTAAAACGTAGACCTAAAAAGGGCATGAAATATATGACCGAAAAAGTCATCTTTGATATTTAGCACGATCTTAAGTAATTTTAGACAGCTTACAGGAAGAAACTAGTTAGATTGTTGCAGCTAAGTTTCAAAACTGGAATTCGATCTCATGCTATACTCAGCAACAAGCTTTGCAAATGAAGACGATCTATCTTCCAGCAACTTCTTTGGAGGATCATATTCATCAATCAAACCTGCATATGGAGGAAACAAAGACCCAGATTAAGAATCCAATCCGACGGATATCATATCAGGGCCAAGAAAGTTGCTTAACAAAACCACAAGGGTTGTGGCGTAGTGGTTGAGGCCCTGGGGGATGTGATGGAATATCCCATCTACCCAGGGTTCTATTCCAGACGTACACAACAATTGTGGCCATTGAGTTTATCAGGGATGATTTCTTGCTGTCACAATTTGACGGGATAAGTCCAGCCTGGGACATTATTCCAAAAAAAAAAGTTGCTTAACAAACCTTGTTCTAAAACCAAAACCATGTCGCTATCAAGCACAGAGGTGATCCGATGGGCGATCATTATCACAGTAGAGTCGCTAAAGTGTTGTGCAAGCGTTTGCTGAATCATGCCATCAGTTGCTGTGTCGACTGATGCAGTAGCCTCATCAAGTACTAAGACTTTGGTTTTCTTGAGTAGCACACGCCCGAGACACA